GTGCTATACTCATAACTGATATCAGTGACTATTCACTGATTCATTTTAAGAGAGTATTTAACTGTTGCAATAACATTTACGGTAAAATGTACATTAGGGGTGTAACAATTATATAATACATATATAACATCCTCTTTTTATGTGATTTATGTGACATTTATATTCCACAAATAAGTTTTGAAGTATTTTTTTCTCGAAATGAACATTAAAATGATTGCTTTTAAACATTTAACGAGGGTTTCCTATTTTTTTTAATTTTGTCGAAGAATTTGATAGAAAAATACACACACAGGCATACACATATATAAGTAATCAAGTATTTCAAAATGAAACACATCTAAAAATCTATAGACAGAGTTTTTACTTTCTAAGCAATGGTATAAATTGAATACCTTATCCACGTGCAAATAACACATTAAAAAATATTTATGCACTAGTCTGCTCTCTCATTTAAGCAGAAGCTGGTAAGAATGTGAGTCTTGTAAATACACGAAGAAAATTTTGCAGTAAAAATTATTATTGGACCATCTAAATAAATCAACGTTCTGTAGTAAATTATTATCGTTGGATTTTATATGTTTTATATATTTGGTTTACTTTTATTCTTCAACAAGATAGATTGTCTCTACCAGAAACATAATAAAATTCGAGAGAATTTATTGTGAGAAAAGAAATATAATATTCTCCTCTCACGTGGTTTATATGGCACTCATATGCAGAGAATTTACAGAGAATTTATTTAATAACAGTTATAAAAACAAAGAAAACAATAAAAACAAAAAGTAGATCGACCTTTTCTCTGCAGTAATTTATTATTCCTTCATTTCTCATACGTGCTGTTTATATTCCGAGAACTGAATATTGTGCTGTTAAAAATTCTATAATATTCCTAACGAAACTTGTTACGTTCCTTAGCAAAATATATCTTACTGACGATCTATTTCTGCACTGCAACAAACATGTAGTAAAATTGAAAAAAATTTATAAAAAATTTATGAAAAAAAAAGACTACTCTCTCCGTGTATTTAATTACTTAGATAATTGCTATAGGTAGAATATCGAATAAGTTTGCAGAAAAATTTCTACACATGCGTGGTTAAGTTTTCCACTATATGTACGTTACTAATATTCTTCGAATTCGTCTTCAGCATCCCCTTATACCGGATGAGAGCGGCCAATCGGCCGTCGACGGGGCCGCCGCGTATGCAATCCGCTCGCTACGCTCTTGTCGATGTATTCCTGCTCATAACAACCGGCCATCAAGCGACACGCTAACGTACATACACCCGACATACCGGCGTCGACGACCCCGTAAAAAGAGGTTAAAAGAAAAAAATGGAGCAAAAAGCGGGAAGAAAAATGAGCGGAACGCGAGATCGCCGAGCAACAAGCTTGCCAGGTCAAAGAGTCCGCGACAAACCGCGTCGCACTCGATCGACCTAGCAGTTGTGCCGCGACAGAGAAATCCAGAGAAAGAGATCCGACTTGTCGAATTCGGCGAGAATGTTCCTCGGACGTCTCGAGATGCGAGAGAGAAAGAGAGAGAAAGAAAGAGAGAGAGAGAGAAAAAAAAGAGAGAGAGAGAGAGATATCACGGCGAGCAAAGTGAAATCCGCGCGCGCGCGCGTCGAGAGCGAGGAGAGATGCTCAGGGAAAAACGCGCGCTATGATGTACTCCATTTGAACGGTAATTACTGCTAGCTCTCCGCCTCGCTACCTCTCTCTCTCCCTCTGTCTCCTCCTTTCTCTTTCTCTCTGTTTCCCTATCTCTGTTTCGCTTCCCTCGAAACTTTCCTCGTGCCGTTTCTCGTTCTCGTCCTCTCGCGCGCAGTAACATCGGTAAATCTATCCACGGCACTGCGCAGGTAATCGCTGTTTGCCGTTGTCAAGCGTTGCCCGACGTTGAATTCGCCGTTGATAGACGATTATCGTTACCGCCGTGCGTCGATCCGCAATCACAACGAACGAACCCTGGCATTAGCGAACCATTCAGCACCGCACGCATGTTTGAGGCCAACTGATTACGATATATTTCTTTTTTCTCTCTCTCGCGCGCGACCCATACGTTCTCCCCCTCCTTCCCTCTTTCGCTCTTCCTCTCTCTCCCCCCCCCCTCTCTCTCTCTCTC